ACGCTGGAGTCTTCTCACTGTGATTTTCACAGTGAGAAGCGCGGAAGCCCTCTAGCGGCTGTCAATGAGACAGCCACTAGAGGCTGGATTAACCCTCAGTGTAAACATAGCAGTTTCTCTGAAACTGCTATGTTTATATAAAAAAAAAAGGGTTAACCCTAGCTGGACCTGGCACCCAGACCACTTCATTAAGCTGAAGTAGTCTGGGTGCCTATAGTGGTCCTTTAACAGTAACTGTGCCTTACAAAATCCCACAAAATGTCATCATTGCATCAGCAGAAAGGAAGCTGACTGGCTGGATTTGTTTTGCGCCCTCTGCACTTTCTCAATAGCTTTCATCATTAGCTTCATCTGGAATACTAAATGCACTGTGCAGGGAAAATGAACCTAGTGCATCTTAGATGTATGGATGGCAACTGCCATAATTCTCAGACTACTCAGCAGAGAGTGATGATAGTTGCAGCTTTTATAATCTGAAAAGCATAACCCATGAGAGCTCCCCTACCAGGATTTGAGCTCCTTGCCTCATGTAGCTGCAGGACAGAGGCTTCTTCTTTATAGCAGCAATCTGACACCAAAATAGTGGAAGGGCAAAGTCAGGATCCAGTCTGGCCAGAACAGGTAGCACAGGAACAAAACCACATTCTCATGGTGAGAGAGAAGAATGCATAAATAGTTTAATAGACTCAGGAGTGACAATTTGTAAAACAGGACTTTAAAAAAAATCTTGTCAAAGGGACTAAAGTGGAAGCCCAATCTACATGTCCGTCATGACAATCTACTTGTCCTGACACAGAATAATTTCAGTTAGAAGGTTTGTGGACCCAGCTTAGACCTGGACACTGAAATGGTTATTCAGTTTTCCCAAATTAAAATCCAAAAGGAAAAACTGAGGCAAAAATACCTGATATGGAAATATTCTCCAATTCAAGTATTGTATGTAATATGTATGTGGGTGGTGTGTGATATGTGTATGTAGTGTATGTCTGCTCACTGAATGTAGTGTGTGCAGACTGTATGTACTGTGTGTGGTTTGTGCTGACTGTATGTAGTTTGTGTGGTTTGTGCTGGCTGTATGTAATGTGTGTGGTTTGTGCTGGCTGTATGTAATGTGTATGTGTGTGTGGTTTGTGCTGGATGTATGTAATGTGTGGTGGGGTAGCTGTATATAGTATTTGGTGTGTGCTGGATGTATATAATGTGTGGTTTGTGCTGGCTGTATGTAATGTGTGGTGGGCTAGCTGTATATAGTGTTTGCTGTGTGCTGGATGTATGTAGTGTGTGTGTTGTGTACTGGTTGTATGTAGAATATATGTGCTGGCTGTTTTTTGTGTGTGTGGTATTCTGCCTCCTCTTCCCAGCTTTTCTAGTGACATATTCTTGAATCCTGCTGGTTCAGTCGGGGTCATATTACCTGTTGGGCTAGTGTAGTAGCATGTGGTCTGCACCTTCAGTGGGTTTGTATTCCTAACCCTACAGTGTTCCTTTAAGTTAGCTGCTCAAACATCTTCTTAATAAACAACGTAAATAAAAAGGAAAACATGATCCATAGATTATGGGAAGATAATATAGGGAGAAGATGGCAACACATGGTCAAAAATATTTACTAACTGTTAAAATATCAATCTGACTACAATCAAGGAGAACGGATCAAATGCCTGTTTAGGTTGTACCTTCACCCAGTTCGTATTTCTCACATATTTAGAAATAGATCCCCATTATGTATGAGAAAATGTGGAGCACACGGTACTTTTGACCACATGGGGTGGACGTGCCCTGTAAATGTCAGCCAAGCTCAGAGGAAACTTACCGTCACATAACAAAATCGGGCGTGCATGGATGAAATTCAAACCTAAACCCTTAGCTTGAATGTAATACATTTTGTTACCCCTATAACATACTCCCCTGTCCTGGTAATTCCTGCCACCCCTCACTTTTTTTCCACAACCATTTATTTCTTGTTATATTTAGTTCAAACATATATAGAATTATTAAACTAAAAGGAAGGAAGGAAAATATATATACATTTGTTTATGTTTATGATGCTGTGAACGTCTGTAAATGTTAACTGATTATCTGTATCACTGATGTTATATAACTTATGTTGAGCAGGAAGAAATCACACTAGAAGAAAAAGTAAAGAATATCGGCACACATATTAGAATAACGTCACACCATCCAAAATAAAACAACAGTATCATAATAAAAGAATGGTCAAGTAAAAAGAATATAAATGTCAAATCAATAATCACTGCACATACAAAAAAAACAATTCAAATGGGGTGAGAAACAGAAACACATAGTAAAGAAAAGTAAAAAGAAAAAGGGGTGGCATGATAAACGTCTCTGTGTCTTTAATAAAATAATTACTTTACATCATGCTAATAGTAAAATCTGATCATTTTATTTGAAGAGTGTCAATTCTTAGATGTATAGTAGCAGAAGCAAAATATGAAATATAACATATGAAAGACAAGGTTTTATTTGCAATACATAATAATAAAGAAAACACAATGGTTCATTGAATAAAGCAGTTATCAGTTATTTATAGGCAATAATGTGCGAGATAGAAATTGCTTCCTTTACAGCAAAAGTTCTGGCTCAATAGTTAGGCTGATATAGGAGAATCCCCTAAACAGCACATACTAGTAGTTAATAGCTATGTCGTCCATCAGCAGTGGAATGTGCTTCCCGCACAGCGAGAGTTCTGGCTCAGTAGTTAGGCTGGTGGAGAAGATTTCCTAAACTGTACACAGTAGCATTTAGTGACAAAGCAGGTATGCAGTAGTGGAATGAGGTTGTCTGGAGAGTAAGAAAGGATTATCGATATGTCCATGGATAATTCCAGGAATATCGGGAACTATGGTTGCAATGACAAAAACAGGGTGAAGAGGACTAGAGAAGTTTTATGATGCCATGAATCCAGAAAGGTACAAGAAATAGAGGAAAAGCATAAAGTCGTGATGGTGCCATGGTTGTAGAAATGCATTTGTCAAAAGAGCCTCTGGGTCTGGTCTCCAGCTGAAGATGTTTGGAACTGGGTTGAAATTTTAAAGGAAAACTTTAGTGTTAGAAATTCAAAGATGTATTCCTAACACTAAAGTGTCCCTCTGCTTCCCCGCCCCCACCATTCCACCCTTCATTGATAGTGTTAAAATAACCTTTTCAGTCACCTGATTCCAGTAGAAAGGATCCCCGGCACTGGATCGGGCTACTCACCCAGCTTCAGAGGCTTTTTTGGAGGTGACCGCATGTATATATATTGTGGACGTTTTGGATAAGTCACTTCAATCATAATTTTTATTGAGCAGATATATAATTTGCATTGTGAAAACAGCTACTAGAGGCAATCTTAGCACTGCAATGTAAACACTGTAGTTTCTCTAAAACTGCAATGTTTTGCAATGCAGGGATAAGGGGGACAGGGACACTGCACCCAGACCTCTTCAATAAGATGAAGTAGTCTGGATGTCAATAGTGTCCCTTTAAGTATAAAGAGAATAAGTTAATGTCCAGAGGAACCCAAAAGGAACTAAACAAACACCAATTACTGGAGTTCCTCTAGTATCGGTAGTTCCAATCTGCAATAGTGTTGGCCAATGGCATCGGCCATTTTAGGGACAATGTCCATGACAGGTGCAGCTTGAGAAGTTAAATGTTGTGTGACATAATGAGCAAGACACCAACCTACATGATCAAACAAACTCTTCCGCTACGTAAAAATGTGACCATAAACTTCAGAGCTGATGACAGACTGAATGGGAGGCAAGTGAATTTGCTCCTTTTCCCAAAAAAAAAAACTGATGGAAGTCCTGATATCCTTCCGCAATGGGTGCTGTGAGATAGACAACTTTCAAGTCAAGTTTGACCATCTAATCTTCTGTTACATGTAAATTTTTAAAGGCAGTGGATGCCCTAAATTTTTAAATATTGATATAAAAGCACTCAAAGTCCTTAAACACCAATGAAATAAGATCCTAACAGCAATTTGGGCAACAAACAATGAACAGGAGTTGGCAACCCTAACCCAAACCCAACCCTAACTCTTTCCATACTCCATGCCCAACCCTAATCCTACCATAACCCTACTCCTAACCCAACCCTAACCCTACTCCTAAAATAACCCTAACACTACTCCTAACCCAACCCTAACACTACTCCTAACCCTACCCCAACCCCTATCCCTAACTCTACCCCAACCCCAATCCTACCCCTACCCGTTTTGCCACTTTTCAGAAGTCCGAAGCACTTCGCCGCTTCCGAAATTCAGCACTTCGGAAATTCAGCACTTTGGTTTGGTTCAGCAGTTCGGAAATTCGGCAAGTCGGTTCGGGCACTTCCGAAATTCGGCACTTCGGATATTCGGAAGCATCTAAATGTCCAAATGTCCGAAATTCGTCTGAATTTCCATTCGGACAGAACCGAATTGCACATGTCTAATATGAGCAAGACTTGTAATAGGCTTTCAACAGGAAGGTTCTAAGGCAAAATGATCCATATCAACATATGAAGGTAGATATCACAGAAACTCAAAAGAGTTAGTCAATATTAGACAAACATATGGAGCTTATGTATATGTTAAGAATTGTTGCATTTGCGTTCACGTTTGTGTCAGTTTTGTGCGCATGCATCATTTTTGTTATAGCATCATTATTTAAACATTGATGTCTTATTGTCTGCCTATTTAGTAGTACTCAAAGATAGTCATACTTCATGCGTTATTGTATTTTCCCCCCATAGGCATATGACTAACATTACTATGAGAACCTCTGTGTCTTCTTGTAACAAATTTTTTTTTATTATATAGTTTGTATTCATATTACAAAAGCTATATTTTACTAGTGTGCTCAAACATACATATCATCAGTTGCAGCTCAAAAATCAGACTCAAGAAGGTGTTGTGGTACAAATGCCACACTTAAGTTTTGCAGTGACAACTGAATGTTACTCTTGACATCTATAGACCATTGATACTTAAAAAACAAATTGCCACTACAAAGTGGAATGCTGAAAGAACTTTATTGACAACATGTTGACAAGCACAGAACCTACTGCAGGATTTAAACTGCACACAACACTAGAGGAGGAATCTCAAAAGTCTGATGAGTTACATTTAAACCACGCAGGTAGTAAAGAGATGAAAGGTGTATAGTTGTCTGGCTTGGTCACCCTGTGAGATCTGTTTAACTGCTTTCTCCCAAGGTGTGCTTGTCGAACAGGTACTTGCCCATGCCCTTCTGTGGCACCCCAAGGCATATCAGGTTGGTAGTAGCCAAGTTGTTTCATAGATTTGACTTGCTCATCCAGGTATTCTGACTCCAGGAAGTCACACAGATGAGGGTCATTCTTGTCAGATGCCAGCTTGTGCAGGTCCAGAAGAGCCTGGTTCACAGTCTTCTCCAGCTGCAAGGCAGCCTGCATGGCTTCCAGGGTGTTGCCCCATTCATCACGCTCTGGTCTCTTCAAATCCTGAAGGACAATACGACCCCCACGCTTATTTTGGTATTTGAGGAATTTCTCTGCGTGCTCCCGCTCCTCATGGCTCTGCTCCTTGAAGAACTTGGCCACATGCTCCAGAGCCACATCATCACGGTCAAAGTAGTAGGACATGGAGAGGTACCCATAGGATGCATACAGCTCCAAGTTGACCATGCGGTTGAGGGCAGCTTCGCAGTTGCTGTTGTCGTTTTGACGCACTTGGGATGCCATTGCGGAGTTTCGCTGTATTGGTGGCTTTAAAAGATTCTCAAGGTATTATTTTATAGATATAAAAGCAAAGAGGACAGGGCACTCAGAGAGGGCTCCGTTCAAACACTGTTGAAGCTAGAACTCTACTCAGAGTTAAAGGATGATCTGATACCTCTGTGTCTTCTAACAAAACTGAACTTATCATCCGAATGTTTCAGCAGAAACTGAGATGTGTTAGACTAATACCTCCATTCTTCTGTCTTTTCATTTTGGTGGTTTCCACGATAACTTCCTGTTTTTAGCAGACAGGGGTTAATATCCACGTGATCCTATGTGTTAAAGGTCCAACCTGTTTTGTGTTCAGAGATGCCCTTATGCACTCTGCTATTGTAAAACCTAGATTTTGAATATTTAACTTTGATCTTTCTGACAACTAAAACTAGTCAGGCCATTGTCATTTTATCCGACTCAAGGTGTTTTCATGTATAGAATGGTTACTTAAAGGATTTTGGCTGTGCCTGACATGTTAGAACCATCATGTGTGTCATACTATGACAAAACTAAAAGTTGCCTTTTACTTTGCAAGAATTGCAAAGTAAAAATTTATCTTTTTTCACTTGCTTTTATTTTTTATGAAATTTACTTTAGGGATTACGTTTTTGGGTGAAAGAGTAATCCTTTGCAATCTTTAAGAATGGTCAGAGTTTAGAAACATTCTATAACTGTTACTAAGCTAATTTACCCAAAATCCACCAGTCAAAAGAAGGGCAAACTACAGCCATCGTGTACAGAGGAGAACAGAATAGAGGAGCCCAGGTACTGAGATGTGGTTCGAGGAAGAAAAACTAATACATATAAATAAAAGCAAATTACAATGGGTAAAATATTCCCCATTCTAATGTTTTCTGGAACATCAACTACGCTTTCCTAATTCCTCTTAATTCTTAAATATTCTTGCATTTACTTCTGTCAAACTGGCTACTGAGTGTATTTCACCTAACAAATTGACAGTTCATGGCCCACTGAGTGTCAACTTTATCATCATTAAAGGTATGGCTTATTTTGAGGCATGATATAAGCAAGATTTGTAGACTTTCAACGGGGAGGTGAGAGAATTAACCTGAGTTTATAATATCACAGAGACCCAATTACGAGAGTCAATATTAGACAAACATATAGAGCTTATGTATAAGAATTGTTGCATTTGCTTTCATGTTTTTTGGCAGTTTTGTGTGCATGCACCATTTTCGTTGTTATATCATTCGTTATACATTACATATTCTTTATACATTGATGTCTTCTTATTGCCTGCAGTTTTAGCAGTACTCAAAGATAGTCATACTTAATGCTCTGTTGTAACCCCCCTCCCCCCCCCAAGGCACATGACTAACATTACTATGAAAACTTGCACATTCACAATTTGAAGCATTTTGTTAATTTTTTTTTTAAACAAAAAGGAAGATTGTAAAAGCTGCTTATCTGGCACAGAACATCTACCATTTTGACAGTGGTGAAAACATTTGTCAGAAAGAAACAGTAGATGTTTGCACCTCCTTTTTCGATTAAAAGTGACAAATTCATGAGTTAAACAAAAAAGAACGGGTAAAAGATGTGCTCCAAGGAATATTTTGGTACAAATAAGATAATAAACTAGCCTAAAAAAAAACCCATGACACATTTGACACAGAACCCTTTTGTGCCTTATCATTCAGTCTGGGAGTAAACTCTGTGTGTGACAAGTTAGGTGTGGACAGTTTATTGAAAGGGCACTGCACTTTATAGCCACTAGAGAGCACAATATCCACAGTACTTTGTTGTCATAAGAAGAAATCAAAAATTGGTGTTGCAAAAAAAGGCAGATTATTATCATTTATTGTTAAAGTACCAAATATGTTCCAAAACTGCATTCTGAATACAATCTGCAGGTTGTGTAGATCACTACAATTTGCAACTTCTATGGATTGTATTCTGTTCTGGAAAGCATTGTTTAAAACCATCAATGAAACCGGGCTACACTTAAACATAGAAACATAGAAACATAGAATGTGATGGCAGATAAGAACCATTCGGCCCATCTAGTCTGCCCAATTTTCTAAATACTTTTATTAGTCCCTAGTCTTATCTTATAGTTAGGATAGTTAGGATAGGACAATAGGTCCCCCCCTTATTGTTATTTAGGGCCCCCACCCGCCACGCAGGGGTGGGGGGCGGATAGTAGGGTTTTTTTTTTAAACAGTGAGCAGCCTTAATCTCCCTTATACTATTATGGGGGTCATATTGACCCCATAGAGTGAGGAAGGACATGGGGGGCTTAGGACATGGCGGGGTGCACTCCCTGATGCTTCTATCTTTACATATTACAAGGAGGAAGCTGCCGGTAGCTCTCTCCTTGTAGTAAACTGAATGAACAAACGGACACAGTGTTTGTTTGTTCATCTGATTTTTCTATTCATTCATTCGTCTTTATGACGAATGAATAGATGAAATTCCGTTCGCATGTCCAAGTGTTTCACTGGGCATGTGCGAGAATCTCACAGTGCTATCTAGTGTGGGCAGATGACGTGTCCCACAGGGACTTCCTCTACCCACACAAAGATGGCGGCGCCCTGACTATAGGTCAGGGCAGAAAATAAAGAATAAAAAATAGGTAATATGGGGGGCTTAGGGGCATTTGGGGGTGACTAAGGGGTCAATTAGATGTAGTGGAGTCGGGAGGGGGGGTTAAAAAAAACGGGATTCGGCCATGACAGTGCCGCTTTAATGTAATTGTTCTGGTGAGTATAGTATAGTCAGTCCCTGCAGGCATTTTTATGTAAATACTGCCTTATTTTTAGAGAAAAAGCAGTGTTTACATTTCTTCTTATAGGGACATCTCTAGTGCCAGTCACTCAGACAGCAACTAGAGGTGCTTCCTGGGACAGTCCTGGACAGTCCTGCACTGCCGTTCAACATCTCCACGCTCTGCATGAAGACGCTAAACATTACTCTCAGAGATGCATTGATTTAATGCATCTTTATGAGATGATTGGCCAGTGCTGTGTTTAGCTCCGCCCCCACCCAGCCTCCTTGGCTTTACAAAGGGAAAGCATTGAATTGGCTGAGATGGTCAATTCTGATGATCTTATCCAAGGAGATAGATTACTGTCACTGCTCTTCTGCTCTTGTGCGAGAGTACACTAAGGAGGTTCATGAAGAATCCCACGAGACTGCAGGATCCTCCATAGAAATAGCTAATGACAAGACTTGACAACAGTAGCTCTGCCCAGTGTCATGCTCTGCCAAGCAGACGAAAAGTACTGAGTCCCAACTTTGTCTCACTATATCTTTTGCCTGGGTTGGAATTTCAGTGACATTCCAACCCAGTCAATATGAGTATTTCATAGTTTCTATCTTTATGAAATACTAATTTTGCAGAGGGAGAGGGTGACAGTGCTGCTTTAAGAGTTTGTGCATTTGTAATTACTACTGCAGTCTGGTGCATTGGTACTAGGCAGGGTGCCTAGTCCCTGGGATTAACGTATTGGTGATTGTTTGGGGTAAAACACAACAAGTGTTATAAGAAAAACCTATACCTTAAGTGGAGCGCTATAATGAATTGGGTGGCTTACCCCTCAAAATCTTGATAGAAACGTGCACGTCGAATATATATGTATGAAAATCACAAAGAATAGAATATGGTGTAGAAGATAGTAATACACTGTGACAATTCAATTGTATATCAGAATGGGTCACTCACATTTAAAAAAGCCTATAGGATTGGCTCAGTAAACAGAGCTTGTATGTTTTTTAGGGCAGCATCCAATAACTATTTCTCATTGATATTTCCTCTGAAAAAATAGAAATAGAAATTATAAAATAGGTATTAAGCTCACCTTTTCCAGAGCATTAAAGTCCTGGCTCTGAGGGTAACAGGCTTTGTGCCAATATAGAGGGGATGGCACTTCCCCCAATGAAGATTCCTGAGGTTTCAGTGGACTTTTTAAAGTGCTATTATATTTATTATGAAAGAAATTTTTAAAATATTATAAAATAAATAATAAAATAGACAAATATAATTTACTTTTATACTATTGTAAAGCACTATGGAATATGTTGGCGCTATATAAATGCTAATAATAATAACTGATATCAGCAAAGGGCAGCTGTGTTAGGCTGAAACAGTTTAGTTGACACTTTCAGCCAATCACCACCACTCATTTTTGCTCATCCTAATGCGTCCTCTTTTATCTCTAGCAGCACCTAGGCATGGTCTGCGGGGGAACTTTCATTTAGCATTAACCAAATCAAAAACAACCTCTTTAATGAGATGAAGCCATTACAGGGCCTAGATTATCCCTTTAAGGTACACACGTATTGGTCCATTTTGTGGAAAAGCACTTATTGTAAATGCATGATGGTTTTTAAAAGAAGAACATGGAATAGATTCTAAAAAATAATATGGCGTTTTGGTAAATAAATATTGTAAGGTATGTTAACATATGTAAGGAGATTAAATGCACAGAAATGAGAGGTGGAGGATGGGGGAACCATTACATAGTTTTGCCCAAGGAACAGAATTGTTACAGACAGGTGTTGTATCAAAATCAACATTATACATTTAAAATCACTAGCATTATTTGAGTGCAGCGTAATTACAGCATTATTCTTGACATTGTTGTTTTAAATATCACCAATCGATCCCTGTGCCACCCTGGTAAATTCTCGATCATGTGAATCTTGTTATTGCCATCACTAATAGATTGTTCACACTCGTCTAGCTCTGAAAGAGTTAAACATTTAATCTGGGACATTAATATGGAATTCGCCCCTTGTTATTACCCGTGATTAACCAAATCAGTATTTCTTTCTTTCTTTGGTTTTTCCTACACTGTCCTCTAAATTGCTAAAAGGCAGTCACACACTTCCTCTCATCCCTCCCCTCTTTTCTGCCTAGAATGGTAGAATGGCTTTCAAAGTACCCACCTCCTCCTTCTCACAGTGGATAATTTTGCTGAGAGCCAAGGTTTTTTTTTCTGTGCTGTCTTTCTGATTAATTCCCCCGGTCAATATAAGATTGGCCTCCGCTTGTTGCGTGAGAGAGACACATACAGAGCTGTGCTGAGACATTCCCATTCTCTGCACTGCTGAGGGAGAGGAGAGACACTAACTTCACAACACACC